ATGTAACGAAATTCGTATGCCACCCATTGAAACCTTGAAAAAGAAGCCCTTCGATACTTATTTACAAGTATTCGATTGTAATTCATGCGAAAATACACAAGCTGTTGATTATCTCTGTTGATAATTAACGAAGCAATCTTTGCCCGGGATTTCATCTGCCTTCGTGTCAAATTGTAGGTTTGACATCACTACATAACCAAATTTTTTGTTTTACTTTGCTTCTTATCTTTATTATGTTGACTCACTGCACTCACGAAATCCTTGAGGTTCTAAGTAACACCAACCCAGGCTGATGATTTCAAACATCCGGTATATAACTTCGCTTTTCAAGCCAAAAGTGAAAGAGCCTAACTTCCATCTGAAGGGGTTCTGACGGTTACAATTCCATTGGGTCAATAAATAAAGGCTGTTTGAGAAGACATTTTATATTACTTCCGGTTTTCAAGGCGATGTGACAGTTACTTTTTGACGCATGGTTACTTTATCATCATCATGATGCGCTTTTCTCGGTGACACGTCAGCAAGCATTAAATGCATATCCCGCTTTGATTTTAAATTGAAGAGTTACATATAAAAGGGGATTCAAGGGTTCATTATCAGTTTACGCTTTCATCTTACTAAAGTTTCTCTGATAATCATCTGCTTTCAAACCCTAAAAATGGCGACTGAAAATCCTGATGCTACTCTTTCTCATACAACTGATGATGTTACTTCTCTGCCGATCATGAAGATTCAGGGTACTAATTATCAGGTTGAATCAAATGTTTCTCTGTATCCTGAAGAATTGAAAATGCTGGTAGTTGCTCTGCAAACCTTGGTATTATCAAAGGCCATGTTCAACTCATTCTCTGTTCCTCTTTCTTGGTTATCTTAAGCCAGTTCAACTACAACATATTCAAAAGCTTTGGAAGCTGTTACATTCAACCTCATCAATGATAAAAAGGTTAGGTTATCAAAGAAGCTTTTCTGCCAAATCCTTGCCATACCAAATTCACCACCATATGTTACTTTTACCTTTCCACAAATCGTACACATGTTCAATGAAATGGGTCATCAACCCCAATTGATAAAGATAAGTGACTTCAAAAAGTCAAGGTTACCATGTGTATGGAATTTTCTGTTTGGGATTTTTCTTCGATGTTTCACTAGCAGAACGCTTGGGCTCGATAAGGGAAGAATGGAGGTGTACGCCATGGTTGTTGGGTTGTACTATGATCTTCAGGTTGATTACTTAACATAACTGTGGAAGGAGTTTCAGAAAAGTATCGAAAACATGAATGTTGTTCATGGCATTTCGTGTGCTCGATATTGAAGTCTAATTTTGTAGCATTTCTATGAAAAAGAAGGTATTTTAGTTCCAGCGGAAGAGGAGAAAGCTGTGTTTCACACTTATAGTTGTCTGAAGGATGTAACGGATGATTTAGATGTATTTCCGTTTGCTGCTCGTATCCCTGACGCCATGTTAAAAAGGAATGATCCTTCAAACCGAGTCTTGGTTTCTTACTTAGAATCCATAGATACTTATGTGGAAACTGGGATTCTCTTACAACAGACAACTGAAAAGAAGTCAAAGAAGGCGAAGAAGGTTGATGTTGGGTCTTCGGGGATAGAGGTTATGTGACAATCGTCAATCTTGAGTCAAGTCAAATCACCAAGTCAAGACCGGTCAACTCGATTAAACCTTGTGTATTAGGGTTTGTGTTATGTTCATACTGTATAACTTGCTATATTAATGAGAAACATCACTTGAGAAAAGTCTTGTGTTAAAAATTTCCTAAACCCTAGTTCTAATCAATGATCTAGAACGATAAAACAATGTTGCATACTCATCGGGAGTGTGTAAGATCCTTAAACAAGGCTTAACAGGGTTCACGAACCATACATTTCGATGCTGGACACTCACAACTATCCCACATGGAACCTCTCTCAATCGTTTCCACACTATCTCTCTCTATGTCAAACCTCTCCCAAATCTCTCTAAGTATGCGAAATCTCTCTCAAATACCTCTCTGTATTAGAAATCTCTCCAAGAATGTCAAATCTCTCCCAAATCCCTCTAAGTATGTGAAAACTCTCGCAAATATCTCTTTGTATGAGAAATCTCTCCAAGAATGTCAAATCTCTCCCAAATCTCTCCAAGTATGTGAAATCTCTCCCGAATCTCTCTCAAATAGTTCCCGTCACTTTTTAGAATCATTTGGGTCATTCCGACGCTTAACCGTGTCAAAAACAGCTTAAAACGGGGTGAAAACGAGAAAAATAGACATTAGGAACCGAAACCAAGAGAGAAGCCTCTTAGGACCCGAAGGTCCTCTTAGGGACTGAGAGCAAGAGGAGCCGAACCGAAACCTTCTAATGCGGAACCGAAACCTCCTGAGCCGAACCGAAACCTTCTGATGCGGAACCGAAACCTCCTGATGCCGAACCGAAACCTCCTGAGCCGAACCGAAAGTACTGTTCACCAAACGAACCGAAGGAACTGTTCACTACTGTTCACTACAGTACGTTCGGTTCTGACATTCTCGCCTCTTATCCCGAACCGAACCCCAATGACCCTTCGGACCGAACCCTCGCCCCTCGCTCTCGCGTCTGACTCGCCCCTTTCGTTTCCCTCTGTTCGCTTCCGGCTACAGTCCTCAGCGTGGACCGGGTCTCGGCCTAGGGACCGAACCTCGGCCTAGGATCGAGAGGTCTCGCTGGGAACTCATTTTCTCCCGGTTTTCGCGTAGTTTTGCGTTTAAGGCCCGTTTTTAATTATTTTAACGTGGGAATTTCACCCAAAATCATATTTTAACATAATAAACCCTAAATATTCACAATTTAATCATATTTTCATAAAAAATATTTATTTAAATAATGAAAGCAAGTGGGAAAAGTACAAAGAGGTGGAGTGTTGACTTTGCTTTACCTTTTAACACAAGCAACCACTCCCACACCCACTCTATGACCAGCCACACCCCCCACCTTACCTAGGTCACATCAATGTCTTTTCCACTCAATTATCCCTCTTTCCCACGTTTTTTAGGGCTGAATATTCATCCTCTCTCCTCACTTCTCTCATTTGCTCTCATTTCACAAGAAGATCAAACTCTTTCATCTCTCACTTTCTCTCTCTAGAAATTCGAGATTCAAGGGCTGATCTTGAGTTTTTCCTCCACATTTGGTAAGCATAATCCATTCTCTTTATGATTATCTCAATTATTTCCACTCAAATCATGGATATCTTACACAAACTCTCTCATAATTGTGTTAGATCTTCGAATCTTCAAGTGATTCTTCAAGTGTTCTTGGGTTGAACACTTATCTTCTTCAACACTTACCTACTGAAATCACTTAAGGTGAGTTCATACCCCTACATTTTCATGTTTTCTCAAGTTTTAAGGGGGGGAATACAAGTTAAAACACTAAGAACATAACTAAATTTCTCTAACAGCCTTCATCGGAAAAGTTCAACTCCATTCACGGACTGTTTTGGGTATCTTAAACATTTTTGTTTTCAAAACTGTACAAGGTGAAATTAGTTCAAGTTCTTATCTTTAAAATGGCTACTTGCACATCTCCATACGATTTTTCTACAATTTATGGTGATTTTTACAAAACTGCCTATCATTTCAAACAACAATCCGGACCAGTCTGTGATTTTGGACTTATTCACTCAAGTTGGAGGTCATTAAAAATCGTGATAAAAATTATGAGTAAACTAGACACATTTTTTGAACTCTCAGAATTTATGGATCTAGTTTTCGACTTCGTATGATTTTTCTATGATTTTTACAAAACTGGGCAGAATTGCTAAAGTTAGCCAACAGCATGTAAATATCATAACACTTTGTAATATGTTGAGCAAAGTGTATAATCATAAGTTCTAATATTTGAATGTGTTTCCTTATTAGTTTATTATTGTGAACTGAAAATAAGTTATTCATATTAAATATTATTCATTCATTTAGAACACGTATTATGTAACTATAAAAAGTATAGTTGGATAAATTCACAACACTAATACATTTCCATAAAAAGAATTCATACATATTATATACATTTTAGATAAACTATAATAGGTATAGTTTATGATGCATCACTCAACACACTCGTACAAAAAGGGTACATTCATACAAGAAAGATTTATATCCACACACATTTCACGTAAACTTGTTAACCTATATTGTGAGACTCTATCTCTCCCCGTACGTCCGAGTGCGGGATATAATTCCTGGTAGTTATAATCAGAATCTCCTTGAGGGAGAACGTGATACTTGTATATAGATCTATATTGGGTTTGACACCCCACACCTTGCTGCTAGCTACAGTGGGACCTGCAGGTCTACGGGTGACAAATGTCATTTCATATTTGCGACGCCTGAGAAACGTTGTGGCAGGTTCACATAGTCACAGTACGATTATAGCGACTCACATAGGGAGATAACAATTCATAAAGTTTACGGGATTTCTTAAAACCGAAGTAGGTTTTAGGTTGATTTAAAATTTTGCTTTCCATATCATTTCAACTCACGACATTTCCACTAAGTAAGGATGATTTCTCATACATTTTGGTCTTGGGTTATAAGGTTACATTTTTCGGATTTAAAGGAAAAATATCGGATTTTTCGGAAACAAACGCGACATTTACCTGTGAAGAACTTCTACTAAGTTTATTAATAAAAGCTTATGAACTCACCAACCTTTGTGTTGACACTTTTTAAAACAACTTGTATTCTCAGGAAAACACTAATCAGATTATCAAGTGCTTTTGAGGATGGGACGTTAAGGCGTCAAACTTTTCATATTTTGTCAACATATTGTAATTGATTTTGAAACATGTAATCCATACAAGTGATGTAACTTTTTCAATTATATATATGTTGGTTGTGTTGCTTAAATTACTATTGAAATTGTGGTTATGATACTATACATGAAGTCCTCCACCCCCGGACGTTTCCGCCATCCTTGGTTTGGGGGTGTGACAGGTTACGACATCAAAGAGTACGAAGCAGGTTCCTATGATCGAACCTGAGCCAATTCAGCCGGAGCCTATTATTCGTGATACCCAGGTAACTGAAAAAGAAGTCGTTCCTTCGAAGACTGGTGTATTGAGACGAATCAAGATGAAGTCGAAGAATAAGCGTCGATCATCTAGTACGAAAGTTGTTCGTAAACCCCAAGTTTCTCATCAAGGAGTGATTTTTAGAGAAATACTTGCCCCTGCTTCTCCTTCTTCGAAAAAGCGATTGGCTGCTGATATGGCAAAACAACTCTCCAAGAAGAAAAAGCGAAGGGTGATTCTTACCTTAGAATCTACTGCAGATGAGGGTGAAACTATTCCTGAGACACCTGAGGCGGATTTGCTTAAAGATTCTTCTCACGTGGATACATCTGTTATTACACCACCCGAAGTTTCGCTTGCCAAGACAATTACTGTGGAGGCTCGAACTTCAGACATCCCTGTAAACATATTTGATATGGATACAAATGTCATCATGGGTGAGGACGATTCGAATAAACAAACAAAAGGTAACCCTTCGAATGTGGTTTCAGATTCTTTCATTTCTTTACCTTCACATACTACCCCTATCATTCCTACAACATCCACAACAGATTCTCCAACTTTTGCAAACATTATTTCACAACCTTTTACCACTCTTTTTCCTTCACAATCAACTGATCCTCAAACCACTACTTCTCCAATAAAAGATTCATTCATGGATACTGAAAATGAATCTGAAGGTTTTGGGGAAACTTTTGAGAATCTGGAATTTAATGAGGAGGAAACTGACTTCCCAAATCATATGCTCCTGACGATGAAACAATTCAAGATCTTGAATATAAATCTTAACTCTATTATTCAATCTCAAGCTGATCTTGGGGGAGGTCGTTCTGTATCTAGCCTTGAAGTTGATGGCATGCTGACATTACTTGAAGGGAGATTAACCACAAAAGTCTCTGGAATGCTGAAAAATTTAGAGTCTAGGTTATTGGAGAAGATTGATCATTCTGATCAAAATAATGAATTAAGAGTGAATTCTCAGAAGTCTGGATTTTCATCTGACTTGAAAGATTTGAAGGCAGTTGCAAAAGAGAGGCATGTGATGTTTGTCCAGGATGTAAAGAAGGTGAGAGAAGATGTAAATTTCAAAATTCAGGAGTTACGCGAAGATATGGAGAAAGAAATTTTTGTTGTTCGAACGAAGTTTGATTCCATCAACAAGAAAGTGGACATTATTTGTAAGGCAGTAACTAAGTTTGCAAAGTTATACGAAATTCTGAGCCCTCAGATATCTCAGCTTTCAACAAATGACAACAAAAATTTTCTAGAGTTGTTCGCCCTTTTGAAAGAGCTTAAAAGTCTATCTTCCAAGTCTACTGCGTCTATGCTATCTTCGGAAGATCTGATCCAAAAATTTTCTAAATTTGAAGAGTTACTTATCCAACAACTAGCTCCTCTATCACGCATCTTGTGACATCCCCAAAATCTCGGCCAAAAAAGACCGATTTTCATTTATGCTTTTAAAATAAATTCAGAGTAAATACTTTTGATTTGAAAGAGTTGCAGAATTTGTTCCCAAAAACAAAACATGATAAAACAATGTTTACCAAAGCATTTCATAAAAGAAATGTATTTTTCATTATATAATCAAAACTCGGGGTGTCATGTTCCGATATAGACCAACAAGCATAAACGATAACATTACAAGTCATCCAACAAATATTTACATATACAGACTTGTAAACAAAACAACTTGATGGTTCATCCATCTTACGCCCTTGCGCCACTTCCTGTAATACAAATAAAACTGAGTGAGTCAGGCTTGGGAGCCTGGTGAGCATATAGGGTTTTCAACCCACAATAAATAATTAAATTAATTATTATCAACCAACAATAACCCAGTTACCCATTCCCATTATTCTCACTTTACGTCCCTAAAATAACTAACACAAGGGACCTAATCTAAGAATATTTTCATCGGGGTGACAACACATGCTGCGGGGGTTCCTCAGCAATATAAGTCGAATAAGGCAACCATGAGGGGGATGGAATACAGCGAATGAACACCCAAGTTCATTAACACCTACAGGTTATGAGCCTGCTAGCGTTCCACAGGACTATCTAGAAAACTCCGTGGTCGTCATCTAAATTCCGCTAGATGACTGGATCAAAACAACAACGAGGCCTCTCATCTGTTTATTACACACCAACTATCTACCCATGTTCTACCCAACATATTAGTAGATAAAAACATACATACATATTTTCAAAACCTGTATAGCATGCTTGATCAATACATTTTCCATATAACAGATGAGGCACACACACATAACACGTATTTCATATAGAAATAATCATATCTGTAAGATAGAAGAAAGTGAATATACATTCACACACATAATAACAAAATATACACATAACACGTATCTCGTATAAAATACTCCATACTTGTATTATTATTGCGTTTATGAAAGGTAGTATGCACTCACTTGATCAGAAGATGATCGGACAGCACTACGGCTTGCAGAAGTCGTAATTCTCAGCAGATCTGGAAGATCTCTACGAAAATCGAACTTCTCGCGGGCAGAGCTTCGGCTCGGAAACCGGACTTCTCGGGATCTCGGGACTTGCTTCGGGACTCGGGAATATTACCGGGACTTCGGGGGTAAAAACGTAGATCTTCGGCACAAAAACGAGAGGAAATTAGCAATTAAACCCGGACCCCTCGCATCCTATTTATAGGAGGCTGGAAGCCCGAGTTACGCGGGGCGTACAGCAGTACGCAGCTCGTACTGCTTCCGAAATGCGTCATCGCATGCGTCATCCAAAGTGTCAACACTTTGGCTGTACGCGGGGCGTACTCACTTACGCGGCACGTAAGTCGGATCAGACCTGTGACTCGCCTTTGGATAATGCCTCCGAATTTTGATTTAAAAATAAATACAAATTAATTAATAAACTTCGGAAATTCATATCTTCTTTATACGAACTCTGTTTTCGACGTTCTTTATATCCACGGAAAGGTGAGACTATGCTCTACAACTTTCATTTAGACTCCGTTGGCTAATTTTGAATTTATTTTTATTATTTATTTTTAATAGGCCGGGACAGAAAATTTCGTTATAAATTCATAACTTCTTCGTTTGACGTCCATTCTCGCCTAACTTTTTATCGCTTTGATACTAACAACGAGATCTTCGATTCTTGGTTAGATCACTAAGGCTAAATATCGCTCTAACGTAAATTTCACTTTTTACGTTAATCAGCGGTGCCGATTCTGTCGCGAAACTTCGACAGGTCATAACTTCCTCGTTATAACTCGGATTTCGGCATTCTTTATATTTTCGGAAACCTTGTTTCAACTACTACAACATTATCTAAAGATATAAAGTTTATTTTACACTTAAATTTTGACGCTTGTTTTTATTCTTAATTAATCAAACCACATAATTAAGCAATTAAGCACAAAACACATAATACTCAAATAATACAATCTTATTATTTCAAAACGGGTTACAAAGGTAAACCTAGACCATTACATTGCTAAAATTGGCAAGCCCGGAAACACAGGCGTTACACATCTCCAGTCTTCTTCCAACTACTTATGCCCCACCTACTAGCACAGGGGTGCAAGGGGGAGAAAAAATATTTACAGGATCGTAGACTAGAGGAGGAGATTCGAAAGTGGTGGGGAAGGTATTCTCTTCGAAAATCCCAACAACAAAACCATTAATGACAACAGTTGGTCCAATCACCTCGACAGTTGTAACAACTGTACCAATTACTAAACCGGAAGGAATAGTGATTGGTAAATCTGCTGACATTGGAGGAAGTGCTTCAAAGCCAAAAGTTGATGATGTTGTGTTTGGCTTACAATCAAAAGGTAAAGAAATTTTGATTGAAAAATCTAAGGAGGAAAAGAAAGCAGAGGTTGAGGTTGAGGTTGAAAAAATGAGAATGATTCAGAGTATTATGACTCAAAGGGCCATTGACCCTCCTGGCTTGAACAAAGGAGATCCTTCGAAGCATTACAATTATGAAACAAGTGAAGCTAAAGTTGCATTCAATCACATGTACTCATTTGAGAAAAAGCCCAAGCAAAGTTATCTTGTCACAAATACAGATGCAGGCCAGCTGGATTTCCCTATAAACAAAATGATGTTTATCATGCCCCAATTCAAAGCTGAAAGCAAATTCAAAGAGAAGGACGAAGGAACACACATGAAGATCAGATTTCATGTTGTTCTTGCAAAGCGTGTTGAGGAAGTGTGGTCTTTAACAAAGATCAAGAAAGTGATAAGTATAAAGAAGGATGTGGTTTTCGAAGACACAGTCCAAAATTTGAAATATACAGTGGTGAGGGCAAATGGCAGTGTACATGAATTCACAATTGCTGACTTTCTATTGATGAACTTGTATGATCTTATACAAGTTGCATTAATTCTGAAGGAAAGGTCATTTTCTTATTTGCAAAACACTGAGCCGGAAGAGTTTAAGTTGGGATTTACTCACATCAAAATCTTCATTGAAAATTATTATGAATGTCTGGCAATGACAGATGTGGAGTTGGCTACAACAAAGGGTCTTGAAATTACTGCTCCAATGAATCCTTCAAAGACACAAGCAGAACTTAAAAGATATGCTAATAGAGAAATCTGCTTGAAACCTTTTGGTTTAGTCTTTTCTGGGAAGGATAAGTCTGGAAGATCGAAGAAATTTTTGTTTCAAGATGTTGAAGTAGAAAGATATTCGACTTCGCAATATACGTACTTAATTATTCGTATGAATCATTGCAAGAAGAATAATGAGGGAGACAAGAAGGAGCTTAAGAAGATAATAAGTTGGTACACAGAAATACGAAGAGTTAGGGATTGTAATGAGTCGAAGTCTTTTGTACTCTTCGTATGGATTATAATATATTTTACTAAGGCATTGTATTTGAAGCTTAATGTTTAGTCCTTAGTATATTTTTTGTAAGCTTTTCTTTCATATAAATAGGAGTGTTTACTAGGGTTAGAAAGGTCTTTTGTCAGAATTATCTCTTGTACTCTGTAAAATCATAAGAGCGTAATAGAGCTGAACCAGAAATCATATTTACATCGGTGTTCAAATCTCGCAAAATTACTTTTGATCATTTGTTACTCTGATTCATTACATACTCTATTCCTTGTTTCATCACGTTCAGGATCATTGCTATGGTTGGCAAGGTAGCATATAGGCTAGAGCTACCAGAGGAGCTTAGCCGGATTCACAACACTTTCCACGTTTCGCAGTTGCGAACGTGCATTATGGATCAGGAGGTAGTGGTGTCGTTGGATGATATTCAGGTCGACGAGCGCCTGAATTACGTGGAGAGGCCTGTGGCCATTCTGGAGAGGAATAATAAAATTCTACAGAAAAAGGAGATACCTTTGGTGAAGGTGCAGTGGGAGTATCAGAGGAGATCCGAGTGGATGTGGGAGCTAGAGGTAAAGATGCGGGAGCACTACCCGGTATTGTTCACCTCAGGGGACTTCAAGGACGAAGTCTAGTTCAAGTGGGGGAAAATTGTAACGCCCCGATTCCCAGGTATTGACTTATGCTGTTATAAGATCTTTTTAGATTTCAAGGTCTACTCGACAAGTTGGTTGCTCGACTCGTCGAGTAGCAACGGGTTGGTCCATGTGTTAAGTGATCTACTTGCCGAGTCCAAGGATGGACTCGACGAGTAGAAACTAGAGGATGAAACCCTAATTTCTAGGGTTTTGCACCCTATTTAAAGGATTATTGGCCTCCCCACTACAGCCTCTTGTCATTCCAAACCCTAAATTTATGTGTGTGTGTGTGTGTGCTTTCTTAGTGTGTTAAGCTTTAAAGAAGGATTTTTGTGAGAAGCAACGGGTTGGTCCATGTGTGTGTGTGTGTGCTACTCGACTCGTCGAGTAGCAACGGGTTGGTCCATGTGTTAAGTGATCTACTCGCCGAGTCCAAGGATGGACTCGACGAGTAGAAACTAGAGGATGAAACCCTAATTTCTAGGGTTTTGCACCCTATTTAAAGGATTATTGGCCTCCCCACTACAACCTCTTGTCATTCCAAACCCTAAATTTATGTGTGTGTGTGCTTTCTTAGTGTGTTAAGCTTTAAAGAAGGATTTTTATGAGAAGCAACGGGTTGGTCCATGTGTGTGTGTGTGTGTGCTACTCGACTCGTCGAGTAGCAACGGGTTGGTCCATGTATTAAGTGATCTACTCGCTGAGTCCAAGGATGGACTCGATGAGTAGAAACTAGAGGATGAAACCCTAATTTCTAGGGTTTTGCACCCTATTTAAAGGATTATTGGCCTCCCCACTACAGCCTCTTGTCATTCCAAACCCTAAATTTATGTGTGTGTGTGTGCTTTCTTAGTGTGTTAAGCTTTAAAGAAGGATTTTGGTGAGAAGCTTGGGAAAAACAAGTGATTAGAAGAAAGGAATTTGTGGGAAATCAGAGATC